TCTTCTGGACATCCAACTTCCTTCTGGACAAAGCCATGGTGGTGGGAGCCGAGGCAGAGGCAGTTAGGGGCGAGATCAGGTCGGCAGGGGAGGGCAGTTGGGGGTGAACTGGCCTGTAGGGGAGGTCATTTGGGGGCATTAGGCAGGCAGGCAGGTAAGTGTTTAGGAGCCAGTGGTCCTGCATTGCGAGAGGGATGTCCAAGGGGTCCCAGATTGGAGAGGATGCAGGCCAGGCTGAGGGACACCCCACTCCCGCTCCCCCTGTGCACAAATTTCGTGCTCTAGGCCTCTAGTTATAAATATTCAGTCAACATTGAAGCACCTAAATATATAAAGCAAGTATTAACACATTTGAAGGGGGAAATAGGCAACAATGAAATAATCCTAGGGGACTTTAATATCTCACTTTTTCTTTTTTAAGCAAAAAAATGGGCAACACACCTAAGTAGATACTTTTCGAAAGGAGACATACAGAAAGCCAAGAGATATGAAAACATGCTCAAAGTCACTAATATCCCACTTTCGACAATGGCTAGATGATCCAGACAGAAAATTAGTACGAAAACATTGGACTTACACTTCATGTTAGATCAGATGGATCTAACAAACATAGAATACTCCATCCAACAGCAGCAGAATGCACATTCTTCTCAAGTGCACACAGAAAGTTCTCCAGGATAGGTCATATGTTTGGCCACAAAACAAGTCTTAATAAATTTAAGATGATTGAAATCATATCAAGCATCTTTTCTAACCACAATGGTATGAACTAGAAATCAATTACAAGAGATAAACTGGAAAATTTTCAAATATGTAGAGATTAAACCTTACGCTCCTAAACAAATAATTAGCCAAGAAGAAATCAAGAGTAATAGAAAATGTGAGACAAATGAAAATGGAAACACAACTTACCAAATTTATGAGATGCAGTAAAAACACTTCTAAGAGGGCAGTTTATAGCAAGAAATGTCCACATTAAGAAAAATATCTAAAATAACCTAACTTCACACCTCAAAGAACTAGAGAAAGAACAAATTAAGCTCAATGTTATTAGAAGGAAGGAACAAAGATCAACAGAAACAAATAAAATAGAAACTAGAAAGATAAAAGATCAATGAAACTAAGCTGGTTTTTTGAAAACATAAAATTAACAAACCTTTAACTAGACCGAGGAAAAAAGAGAAAACTCAAATGTAATAAAAAATGAAAGTGGAGACATGACAGCTATGATACAGAAATACTAAGGATCATAAGAAACTCCTATGAACAATTGTACACCAACAAATTGGACATCTGAGAAGTGAGTACATTTCTAGAAACATACAAGCTACCAAGATTGAATTATGAAGAAATAGAAAATCTGAACAGACCAACAACAAGCAAGGATATTGAATCAAAAATCAAAACACTTCCCAACACAGAAAAGCACAGGACCAGATGGTTTTACAGGTTAATTTTACCAAACGTTTTTTAAAATATGTTTTTATTTATTTTTGGAGAGAGGACAAAAA